TCAATGGACTTGTATAGTACGTGGGGTCGCAAAGAGTTGGACACAACTGAGTGGCTTTCACACATCAGTAACTCATACATACTTGGATCTTTCCCTTAGGAAATTTTTCCTCCCTGTTCTTCTTTTCCGTCACCTTTCCCTTCCCAATATATATACTCTTTCTAGTGTTTCAGACCTGTTAAATGGTAATCTCCTGACAGAGAACATTTGAAACAAAACACATCCCATCCCCTCTCTGCCAGTCTAAATTAAGGTCCCTGATGTCATTCTCTCTCATAGCACCCTACCCCGTTACGACATTTTAAAATTAGACCTTTATTAGAGTGATTGTTTTATTGTTTTCCTCTTTCTTCTATTGCAAGTTTGAAGGGTACAAGTACCATGTTTGATTTTGCTCACTGTTGTGAACCTAGCACAACTTGGATACCTACTGGTATCCAGGAAATATCTCTTGGCTGAATGAGAATGTTCCAGAATTCTGCGAGTTCAGTTTTGTAAGATGGAGTGAAAGCATGCCTCATAATGCAGTCTATCAGGGATCATGAGGCAACAAACTAATACACCACCTTCTCCTTCAGAGGACAAGGAGCAGGTTTTGCTTTAACTTTGATTTCCTCAGAACTCCTAGTCAAAGTCCTTCAGCCTTATGACAATTGATAGATGTTTTTCACGATGCATATATAATCTAAGAAATACTATAGTACTTCTCAAAAATTCTCTTTAATAGCATTCAAAATGCTTTTGCTGCTTTTATTTCCATTTGCACTTTATTGGTTTTCAATATGGGATTTCCCAGGTGGTACTAGTGGTAAAGAACCTGCCTGCCAAATGCAGGAGATGTAAGAGATGTGAGTTTGATCCCAAAATGTAAATTCCTTCAAAGACACTTAAACATCCATTTAAGAACGGACTTTGAGAACTTCAAGAGATCAATTTTTCCTGAGTAATTATTTATATCTTTTGCAATTTTGATTCCACTGGAGTTCAAGAATCAAAGCTAAGGATTTGCTTGAACTCTTCTTGGGATGGAGAAGTATTAACATTTGTGAACATTTTTGTGAAGCTTCAAAATGCAGAATAATTAAGGAGGATGTGGATAAATTTTATTTACATGTATTTCAGAGACGTCATGCCATGTGGTTTCAATGTTCTTTAGAGAAACATCAATCTTTCTTTTTAATTTTTTAATTGGAAGAACATTGCTTTATAATATTGTGTTGGTTTCTGCCATGCAACAATACAAACCAGTCCTGATTATACTGGTTTATGAGAACCAGTGTCACCTCCTGGTGATATATAGCACGTCCTTCTTGAGCCTTCCTCCCCTCCCTTCCTCCCACCCCTCTAGGTCATTATCACAGAGCGTCAGGCTGGGCTCCCTGCATCACACGGTAACTTCTTACCAGCTACCTGTTTCTCCTGTGGTAGCGTATATATGTAGGTGCTACTTCCTTCATTCATCCCACTCTCTCCTTCTCCACCTGTATCCACAAGTCTGTTTTCTATATCTGCATCTCCATTCCATCCCTGAAAATAGGTTCATCAATACCATATACATGCATTAATATAGAACATTTGTTTAGAAAAACATTGGTCTTTAAATATTAGATACTTTTCCCATATTATTCTGAATGTGTCTATGGGTTTTGTCCATATATAGCATCTCTGTTAAACAGTTGATCCTGATTTTAAGTATAAGGGTTTCAATGGAAAGGAGACAGATTTTACTGAAATACAAAGAGATACCCCTATGTTACAATGTCTACTCAGTTATTCCTCATGACAATCTGTGAGATTGCTCTCATTGACCCCACTGTACTGAAGAGGAAATTGAGGGTCTTATTGACTATGCTAAAGCCTTTAACTATGTGGATCATAACAAACTGTCAAAAATTCTTCAATGTAAATCCATGGCTAATTCATTTCAATGTATGACAAAAACCACTGCAATGTTGTAAAGTAATTCGCCTCCAACTAATAAAAATAAATGGAAAAAAAATAATAAAAACTAAGGGACTTCCCTTAAAAAAATAAAAATAAATAAAAAGAAAGCACTTTGTAAAAAAAAAAAGTAAAAAATTAAAAATTTAAAAAAAAAAAAGAGATGGGAATACCAGACCATATTACCTGCCTCCTGAGAAATCTGTATGCAGGTCAAGAAGCAACAGCTAGAACTAGACATGTTACAACAGACTGGTTCCAAATTGGGAAAGGAGAATGTCAAGGCTGCATATTATCACCCTACTTATTTAACTTATATGCAGAGTACCTCATGTGAAATGCCAGGCTGGATGAAGCACAAACTGGAATCAAGATTGCCAGGAAAAATATCAATAACCTCAGATACGCAGATGACACCACCCTTATGGCAGAAAGTGAAAAAAAACTAAAGAGCCTCTTTCATCAAGAGGCGACTGAAAAAGTTGGCTTAAAACTCAACATTCAAAATATGAAGATCATGGCATCTGGTCCCATCACTCCATGGCAAATAGATGAGGAAACAACGGAAAGAGTGAAAGACTGTTTTTTGGGGCTCCACAATCACTGCAGATAGTAACTGCAGTCATGAAATTAAAAGACACTTACTCCTTGGAAGAAAAGCTATGACCAAACTAGACAGCAAATTAAAAAGCAGAGGCATTACTTTGCCAACAAAGGTTCATCTAGTCAAAGCTGTGTTTTTTCCAGTAGTCATTTATGGATGAGAGAGTTGGACTACAAAGAAAGGTAAGCACCGAAGAATTGATGCTTTTGAACTGTGGTGTTGGAGAAGACTCTTGAGAGCCCCTTGGACTGCAAGGAGATCCAACCAGTCCATCCTAAAGGAGATCAGTTCTGAATATTCATTGGAAAGGCTGATGCTGAAGCTGAAACTCCAATAGCTTGGCCACCTGATACAAAGAACTGACTCATTGGAAAAGACCTAGATACTGGGAAAGATGGAAGGCAGGAGGAGAAGGGGACGACAAAGGATGAGAAGCCTGGATGTCATCACCGACTCAATGGACATGAGTTTGAGTAAGCTCCAGGCATTGGTGTTGGACAGAGAAGCCTGGTGTGCTGCAGTCCATGGGGTCACAGAGTTGGACACAGCTGAGCACCTGAATTGAAGTGAACTGTGGTCTTAGCAATTGTTTAAAGCCAGAGATGACATCCATAGCGGTGCTGAGCCTCCCTGACCCAAAGTTCATGCCATTTCCTCTAGACCACACAACCTTCAATGGATCTTGCAGACGAGCACAGTAATCATGAGGCCCCTCTCTATCAAAGCAAATCATTCAGAATATTGCTTCCCTCAAAGCCCCAAGCCAGTGGGCCCCGTACCTCAAGACGGGAAATGGCTAAATAGATGGGGAAATGGGACTTATTACACAAACACTTCTGTGTTCAGCATGGCCACTTTGATTCCTTAATGTTGTTATTCTCTTCAGAGCACAGAATTTTGTGGCCACATTTGCTGTGGCCCTGTCAAGCTTTATGCTCAGCAATGCCATGGCAAAAACAGGTCTTCCCAGTGATGGGAAGAATTTGTAGAACCGCAGCTCATGGCTTCTGAATTTATCAGAAAGCTTTAAAGACACACATTTGATTTTTCTGATTGTGAGCATTTCATTAGGGAGTATCTTTCATCACATTACAGTGAAATGGGGCTGATGCTTTTATGTATTTACTGACAGCGATGTAAAGGAAGTAAGAATATTACAAACATCCACTTCCAGTCACCTCTGAAATGCCATGACCAGTTCTTGCTTCACCACTCATTAGCAAGTAAAGTTAATCAACTTCTCAACCAGCAAAACCAAACGTGCTCTTTGGCATACCTAGCGAGTTCAGGATAAGTGCTTAACTGGTACATATATATGACTAATCAGTGATTCTTAGAGAAAAAGGATGTTTAGATCAACAGCAGATTATATAAAAAGTTGTTCACATGCTGAGTCAGATTCCACCTAATTCTCTTACTTGTACATATCCCAGTCAAGAAGAGAGGAAAAAATTCTCCTTTTTAAATTAATCACCCATATTTCATTAGTCTATGTTTTTAATACTAAGCAAGCAACCAAGGGCCTTTAAAGTTAGAGTATCTAGTTTGTCTACCATTGCTGTCATTTCTACTTAAAAAGAAAACTGGAAAATGAAATGATCTTAAGGATCGTGGATGCAGAGAAAACAAATAACTCCAGAGGCACACAGAGCAGCCAGTGAAACAGAGGGATACCGTGAACAAGGCAGCTAATAACTTCTCCAGTGCTAGGGTTTTCTAAAAGGTTTGTTCTTTCATGATGCCCCACCCCCGAGGTGATAAGAGGTTGATCTAGATATTGTTATGCAACTTTAGGTGCACCAACTTAAATTATGTGATTTTTGTTTTTCACTGAATTTGTTTGAATTGTCATCAGATACAACCATGAAATTCAAAATGTCTGCTTGACTCCAACTTGTAAGCTGAGAAATTGAGAAATATCTAGAAAACCTTTCTCTTTTCCTAACAAAATGGTATGATATTATTTAGAAGTTGGGAAGGAAATCTTTTACTGCTTGGGCTGTAAAAAAAAAAAAAACAAAAAAAACCCTCAAAACCAGCAGAGTAGCTGACAAGTGACACAAATACAGTACATACTAATGCACAGAGAGAAACAACCTTGAGAATTTAAACCGGCTGCACCAAAAAAAAAAAAAAAATCTTTATCCAGATATGTGGTCCCTCATGAATTATACTATTATTTTAGTTGATTTTACCTGACATCACCCTATGAGTTTCTTTAGTGACAAGAAAATTGCAGCCGGCCCTTGACAGTCGGTCACAAATTGACTGAACAAAACAAAATCAAACACTGAAGTAATCCCCAAGTAAATTTAATGAAACCTAAATCCCAATGGGTAGCACACTTCTGTAGGCAATGGTCTTATTTAATAAATTTTTCCCCGCTTTCACTTTTAGAGCTATATATACACAGACAAATTTAATTCATTGGGTTTACATTTCCTCTTTCTCTTAGCTTGTCCACCAGGCACCTACGGGAAGGACTGTAAACAGGTATATCAGTGTTCAGCTGAGAATGAGGAGTGTCACCCAGTCACAGGGAGATGTACCTGTCTGCCTGGCTACCATGGAAACCGCTGTCATCTCAGTAAGTGTGTTCTGTGTGTTAGTTGTAATTTATTGAAGAGACACTGCTGGAGTGGGTCATCACTCGGAATGCTAAAGGGCAAATGTTAATTCAAGGTTCTAATTCATTGTAAATCCTCTGGGAGTTTTTATTAGAATGGTTGAAAACATACTTTCCTGTGTAACTCATTCTCCCATTTGTCTTTCCTATTCAAAATATCCCCAAGAAAAAGATAAGAATTAAAGAGAAAGAAGAAAATATGAACCAATTATTATAAATCGATATATAGCAAATGGCAACATATTTGGAGTGATTCAGAAAGTTAGTTAGTTCCACAATCTCCTTTTAGGAACAACCAAGTTAAATAAATTGTTATTCTGGAATGAAAACAATGACTTGCTTAAATGACAAAATGCCAGTTGGCTCATTGTTGTATAATAAAAAAGAATAGTCCCTTGACCAAACACCTTATATTCATTTGTTAGGACATTTTAACATAGAAATGGTTATAGGAGAACACATGATAAAAACTCCCAAGGAACATGTTAAAATGTTCAGTCAGCTACTTAATTTTTAAGCTCGTAATTATTTATAATGTACTTTTTATAGGTTTAAGGATAAAATGATTTGGCTTTAGTTTCATTTTTCCCCAACTTGGCCCTTGCTACTCTTTTCTCCCCAGTCGTTCCTATAACAGGTTTTGTTTTTTTTTCCCCTACTTTCCTTTCCTAATTCTGCAAGTATATGGATGAGTTTTGGATCTCCCCCAAAAAACACCAGTCATAAAACATAGACTCATGGTCAAGCTATTGGTTCCCATTTTCCACAAGCCATAGAATATATATTTTGAATATCAATTCTCACATTTGTCCTAATTTTAAACATTACCAACTAAAAACACAATTACGCATGTACATATGGTTTAATACACCCATAGAACCCATAACCATTGCATTATTCAAACTTACAATGAAAAACTAAAGCATTAAATTACTAAAATTTTAATTATTTTTTCGGTCATGGCAAATCTCAAGCAATGGAAGAAAGGAGTGATTTTCTCACATCTGATGCTGTCACATTTCTCAGGAAGAATTTCTTCTTGATATCAAGGATATTTCATCTGAATAAATCAAAATTAAGTTACATAAAGCTGGTCGTACTTCCATTTCAGAAAGCCAGCTACCTTGGGCTGAAGGAGGAGAGCTTTGCCTTGAAAAAGCCAGGTTGAGGCCAGAGGCCGCTCCCTGACTGGTCTGATGGGCTCAGTTCCAGGCAACACGTGGTTGGAAGTTGCTGCAAAGGTTCCTTGGCAATATGCACTGTAATTACAGGACGACAAAAGAGGGGTTCAAGAAAATATCCGAAAACAGTGTAGCTGGCTCAAAAGCAAATATTCCAGCAGCCAAAAACAACCGGGCTTTCATCTTCCCAGGTTTGGAGTGGAGAATCAACATTTTCTCTCAGTAGAGGTCAGAGGAAGCGGACAGACTTGGAGTAGGAATCTCACCACTTTTCCTTAATTTATACTGGGTGGTTTAGTCCCAGTCTATGGATAGCAAGCAGGGAGGAAAACAAACAAACTTCCTGATAGATGTAAACTCATCTTCCTCTATATTTTATGACCAACATGAAATTGTTAAGTGATTACAGATCCTGGAAATCTTTTGTTTCTCTAACCTACAGTATGATTTATTAGAAGTCTCTCTGAGCGAACTGAAGGCATTGGAATCCTCTAGAACCATAGACCACTCTGTTGACAGTATCCATAAGAAGACCCATAACACTTGGTTTAGGATGCTTTGAGAAACATGGGCCACAGGATAGCTCACCTGTGCCAAGAGGAAGATGTCAAGACATGAGTGGAAGCTCGGCTTGAATGGTCTTGCTCATAGCAATGACTATTCAGACAGGCCAAATCTTAGTATCTGTTTTTAAGAATAAAAGAAAACTGTGTAACAATGGCTGGTGCATATGTGAATAAACTGGTCAAATACTACTAGGAAAACAGACTGACAAACAGATTCAGGCTTTTCATTTGCTTTGGAGCTAAGTGTCTCAAGATACAGTCACAAACTTGCTTGTTCTAACTTCCTAATTAAACTTCCCAAGTGCCACTCACTTCATCATGGTATACAGTAACCTTTAATATTTAAACAAATCAGAACAGTGAATTCATTTCCAAGCTTTTTCTTAGTTAATCTCCTTCATGTAGAGGGGGTGGTGCAAGGATAGGGGAAAATATTAATAATCATCTTCTAATGGAAAATAATGGCTTACAGGTGGCATAGTGGTAAAGAAATCTCCTGCCAGGGCAGGAGACACAAGAGACGTGGGTTTGATCCCTGGGTTGGGAAGACTCCCTGGAAGAAGAAATGGCAATTAGCTACAATGTTCTTGCCTGCTGAATCCCATGGATATAGGAGCCTGGTGGACTACAGTCCATACGGTCTCAGAGAGTCAGACACGCCTGAGCACACGTGCACACACACACACACACACACAATGGAAAATAACCAAATATCCCTTGTTCAAAAAACAAAATTTCCTGGGGAAAATAATTGGGAAGAATAGAACAAAGGCCAAGAAATGATCAAAGTGGAATTTTAGGAAATGAGAGAGGGGAGACCAAACACCCCAACGAGCCAAATGAAATCATTATCTCCTGGGCGTATATTTCCTTATTAAATTTAGTGAACATCTGAGCAAGAGATGTGTGCATGATTCTAGAAGTTAGACTTTCACATAGTCACAGAATTATGTGTGAAAGTAGAGCTGTCTGTAAAATAACTTATTCTTGGGGAAAAAAATGTATGGGTACTTTTGTAAACACATATCATACTCTTAATATAAATTTAATGAGTTGCAGGATTAAGAGGTTAGTGCATATACTGTCTTTCAACAGATGTTATGCTCATTAGAAGGTTAATTTCATCATATTCAGTGTCCCGATTTTGAAAGGATAATTAAGTTGAAGGCTTATTTTCTTTCTGTATACCAAGAAGAAACAGCAAGAGATGATGTTTTCAAATGCAAAACCACCATTCAGACAGTTTGTAATGAGTATATGTCAGAGAGAAATTATGTTTTCCAAGTCATTTCAATTCAAATGAAAGTGATCTTAAAATATAGATCTTTACATATATCAGTTATATAAATTCATCAGATAACAGCATCTAACTCTTCTTTCCTTTTAACTGATGCTCATTCTTTTATACCCATTATTATATATACAGTTCAATATTTTCTACATTAATGAATATGTAAATTTCACTTTATGGGGTGTTTTCTTTTCCCTATTTGAACAAAAACCCATGTCACTTTTCACTTCCTACTCATGGGATTGCAGAATTTTTTATATTAGTCAATTCTTAATTTAACCTACTTTTTAGAAGCATCAGGCCAGCAGTACCCACCACACTTCATTGTTTCCAAGTATACCTTTATCTTTCTTTGTGTTTTTTCTCCACTATCAAGCAACCAAACATTTGTTTTAAGCATCATATAATAATGAGAAAAGCTATTAAAAATTACATTCTGTAAGACAGACCCAGATAGACATGAAAGCATTTTATATTTTGGTGAATAAGAGGAGATAGAGACTCTTTACACCATTCTGTTTTTAGATACACTCTATTGTATTTTAGTAAGGGAGAAAAATAACTTCTTAGGAGGACTAAAGAATGCTGTAAACCAAAGAAGTATCCATTAACTATGAGAACTGGCATCCCTTGGAAGGAAGAAACAATAGAAGAGAATGTGAAGTGCCTTCGTCATTTTTCATAGAAAGGAAAAAAGTAACGCAACAGCTGCGACAGAGAAGTCACCTTTAATAAGAATGATCTTAGCTGTTTGCCATTCATTCTCCATCTTGAAGGACTTTATTAATATTTTAAAACTGAAAGAGAAGGGGAGAAGGGAACTGAAAGAGGGAAGGAGAAGCCAGGGCTCAAGATCAGACAGTGGATTCTAGGACAGGATATAGATAGGGATTATAAACAATCTGAGTCTCAATAAAAACCATCCTTTGGTGTCTAAAACCTGCTACATGCGCAACACTCAAAAATGTTCTTTACCATCGATTCTTACATAGAAATACAGGATAAAATGGAAGGAAGCCAGTGGCATTCAGTCTCTAGTTTAGTCATTTTTAGAACTGTGCTTCCAAGTGAAAACGTTGTGCAAGAGGAGGGACCTCTGGCCAATAAGAAACCTTTGCACTTAGGTTAAGGAGATAGGGAAAGGGTTTTGCCATAGGCCCACCAATGATCTTGCCACTGTGAAAGAAAATAATGGCTACCATTAACTTGGCAGCTATCTGAGATTGGTGATATGCTAGGTGCCCTACTTGTTCACACAACAAGCCTGTGATTCTGTTATCATTCTCTTTGGGAGCAACGAACTAGGAGCTCAAAGGAAGGACTTCTCAATAACATTAGCAAGTGGAAGATACAGGGTTCAAATCTCAGTCTTTTCAAAATGTTCTACATCTTTTTATTTTAGAAATATGACAGGAAAAAGGAAACTGGTCTTTACCAGGTAACATAATTTTGTGCAATAACATTTTTAAGTAACTATACTTCCTGATCTTCAAATAATTATTTAGCCAGATGGAGCTGAGGTCTCTTGAAACTAAAACTTCTGTGATTTTAAGACTTTAAAGTACCAGACGTTTCATAGAGCAGGACAGCAACATATTTGGAAGTGCTTCAAAGTCAGCTAAGTGCTTGAATCCCTGCTACATTTTCTCTACTAGTTACTTATCCTATTTCTACTTAAACTCCTACAGAGATGGGTAATTCACTGCCTCATGGTAAAAGCTTATTCCAATCCTGGACAGCTCTTTCAAAGAGTATTTCCTTATTGAGATAATATCTCCCTTCTTCCTTTTCCATAAGACTTCCTTTTCATGGGTGAAGACAGTTTTACTCTGAGGTCTATTTTCTCCTGGCTAAATACCCCCAATCTTTCAATCACTGCACAGATAATATGGTTTTCAGGTCACTCTTTGCCCTGTTCAGTCTCCTTTTGTCTTGAAGTCTGGCCATTTATCTACCTCTTACACAAGTATCATCATGGTCAGCCCAGATCCACGGATATGAGTAGAAAACTGAGACACTAATAGAAAATGAAGACGCTTCCTCCATGCTTTCTGCCATTTTGAATTCTTATGTGTATTAAACCCAGATCATTCCAGATCAGACAAACAATACTTAGACATTAACTGAAAGAATGACTTTTTCTAGGCAGGAATAGAACAACCTTCTTTGGTGAATTGTCTTTTTTTTCTGAGCATACTCTAAAAGTGGGTAGATTTTCAAGGAAGTTCAAGGTTAAGTTTCTTATATCTTATTAATGAACAGCCTCAGGAACTCTATGTCCCCATCTGTACTTCTAAGGCATCTATCCATATCCATTTGTATCCTCAGATAAGTCCATCCCTTGAATCAGTATCTTGAATGTGATAAGAATACCAAAGAACAGGGCAGTAATTGGAATGTTGAGTTAACCACATGACTATGGGCATGAAGTTGAGCACTGATAGCTCCAAGTTACAATACCACATATGGTTTTGTTCTCTCTCATCAGGATGTCCAAAAGGCACTTATGGCCCTTATTGCCGAAGGAAGTGTAAGTGCCTGAATGGTGGTAGCTGTGATACCATGATTGGCACCTGTGACTGCCTTCCTGGCTTCATCGGGGCTAACTGTAGTCAAAGTAAGTCACTCTATCTACTATGAATTTAATATGCTAAAGCAGAGTTTTAAAGAACTGCACTTAGAGAGTACATATTTTTGCATTTATTTTACATAATGATTTACTGCAGTAACAGGAGTAAATTCTAGGTTGAGGAGTATTTCTGGCAGGAATTTGATTGAGAGCTGAAGTCAGTGAAGGCAGCCAGGAAGCCCTCTGGTCACAACCTCTCTTGCCCCAGCAATGCTGGACTCAAGTCAGGATAAGAAAATGTGTTTGGCAAGATCAGAGCAGACTGGAGATTCCTATGTACACAATGTCAGATTCATTGTCCAAATTTCCACAATTTCATTTATCCTCAGCAATTTTCCAGTTCAAAATTAAGTAGTTTCCCCTTACCTAAAAGTAATCATTTCCTGAAAATCCAAAGACCTTAAATAACTACCTATCATACAAACTCTGGGAGATGGTGAAGGACAGGGAAGCCTGGCATGCTGCAGTCTGTAAGGTTGCCAAGAGTCGGACATGATTGAGCAATGAACAACAACATCATACAAGTAACTACTGACATAAAATTTAAGGGACCAGATATAAATTAAAGATGCCATACAAAGCACTGGCTTAGACATTGTGGGAATATCCTTAGCAAACACATTTTGCTTTGATAAAATCTGTTAGTTTCCAACTATTTAGACAGTTCACAAGATGATGATGGTCTTTAGGGAGGATGGAGGAGGCAATGAGTTGGAGGGGCATGGTGGGGAGGTGATCCTGGCAATGTCCTATTCCTTAACCTAGTTCTGTTGACGAGGATGTTTGCTTTGTGATCTTTTATTGATCTGTCCACTATTATTTTTTTGTGCGCTATTCTGTATCTTCCCTGGTGGATGTCCCAAGTGGCTCAGTGGTAAAGAATCTGCCTGCAATGCAGGAGACCTGGGTTTGATCCCTGGGTCAGGAAGATCCCCTTAGAGGAGGGAATGGCAACCCAATCCAGTATTCTTGCCTGGAGAATCCCATGGCCAGAAAAGCCTGGTAGCCTACGGGCTACAGTCCATAGGGTCACAAAGAGTCAGATATGACTGAAACAACTTCACATGCATTCTTTATCTTTTACTTAACAAAAGAGTAAAGACTTTTTTTTTCAACTTTTCATTGTATTTTGGAGTATAGCCTATTAACAGTGTTGTGATAATTTCAGTTGGACAGCAAAGGGATTCAGCCATACATATACAGGCATCCATTCTCCCCCAAACTCCCTCCTATCCAGGCTGCCACATAAGGATAAAGATCTTAAAGATTGAAGGACTGTAATTGTGAACTTGAGATTCTTTTATTTGGAAGAATGATAATGAAGTTTGTGATCAGGCAGAGTTATGGTTATATGGTAAAGATATCCAGAATGCTTATCTTCCTCAAGCAGATAGTTGCTCTGTTTTCTTCATATAAGGGTAACCGTAATTACTTTGCTTCAGTATCCTGCTGTTCTGAGAATAAAAGATGAATAAGACAAAGTCCTGGCTCCAAGTGGCAGAAAATTGAAACCTAATGGATACTGCCTCTGAGGCCTCAATGGCCAAGTTATCTTTGAGTGAAAGCCAGCCCATAAACATCTCCCAATGAAGGTTCTAACTGGCTCCTTTGTGTTTGTTCTTCAAAGAAAATTGTTGGAGAAATTTCCTTAGGCCAGAGAATCTTCAAAAGTCATGGTTTCCTTGAATGTTGGGAGGAGTTTTGTCTGCAGAAAGCCACGATCTTGTGCTTGAGCAATTTTCCTTCTCTGCTTTGACAGCTATCGAGGTCAGAGCCAAGTTTTCTGTCACCTCTTACAAGTTCAAAGAATTATGATATTTGTTTATGTATACACACTTCCCTGGTGACTAAGATAGTAAAGAATCCACCTGCAATGTAAGAGACCTGTGTTTGATCCCTGGGTTGGAAAGATCCCTTGGAGGAAGGCATGGCAACCTACTTGCAGTTTACTTGCCTGTAGAATCCCCATGGACAGAGGAGCCTGGCAGGATACAGTCCACTGGGTCTCAAAGAGTCGGTCATGACTGGGCAACTCAGTCATGTGCAACTCAGCACACAGTGTATACACTATTATAGTATTTTCCCTTTGATTGAACCTCACAGATATTTATTTTATCTTTGTTTTATCTCTATTTTGGTAAGCATCTCACTGAACTGGTAGAATGAGTTCACAGCAAAACAAACAAGCAAGAAAATTAATAAGTGTGTTAATTTATGAATAAATTAATTTTTAATTTTGTTAATTAATGCAATTAATTTAATAGATATAATCTATTGAAGGTAATTTAACATATTTGTTTTGATAAATGCACAATAAATTTAGAAATTAATCAATACATAAATAAATATTTGGAGATGTGAGCATAAGGCACAGAAGTGTAAGCTAAATTTTCCGAGTGCACTTTAAGAGGAAGCATCCCTCATAGCTCAGTTGGTAAAGAATCACCAGCAATGCAGGAGACCCCAGTTCAATTTTTGGGTCGGGAACATCCCCTGGAGAAGGGATAGGCTACCCACTCCAGTATTCTTGGGCTTCCCTTGTGACTCAGCTGGTAAAGAATCTGCCTTCTATGCAGGAGACCTGGGTTCAACCCCTGGGTTGGAACAATCTACCCACTCCAGTATTCTGGTCTGGAGAATTGCATGGACTGTATAGTCCATGGGGTTGCAAAGAGTTGGAAATAACTGAGTGAACTTCACTTTCACTTTTGTACTCAATATTAGTACATACGCACACAGCCTAAGACAGCCACACAGCGAAGCAAGACTGAGCCTGTTAAGTGTCATTCATATCACATACATACATAAATGTCTGACAGTAGATATTTGGATGGAATTCCTGATATCAACTAAAATTGCACTGCTACTGCTACTGCTAAGTCACTTCAGTCGTGTCCGACTCTGTGTGACCCCAAAGACAGCAGCCCGCCAGGCTCCCCCGTCCCTGGGATTCTCCAGGCAAGAACACTGGAGTGGGTTGCCATTTCCTTCTCCAATGCATGAAAGTGAAAAGTGAAAGTGAAGTCGCTCAGTCTTGTCCGACTCTTGGTGACCCCATGGACTGCAGCCTACCAGGCTCCTCTGTCCATGGGATTTTCTAGGCAAGAGTACTGGAGTGGGGTGCCACTGCCTTCTCTGAAATTGCACTAAGTAAGCAACAATTTGAACAAGTCTCCCCCTCCCCACCACATAGTAACCTTTTCAATTGAAAACCGAGGGCAAGTCGGGGAAACCTATTTGATTAAAAGAAAAGGTTACGTATCTACACGTTCTTACAAATCTTGACTGGCGAAATGCTTTATTAAGGAAAATCTGGTTTCCTTTTGCACTGCTTTGTTTTTCTCCTTTCTACAGCTTGTCCCGAAGATTACTATGGGCAGGACTGTGTCCAGCGGTGTTCTTGTGTCTCAGGACAGTGTGACCCAGTGACTGGAAGGTGCCAGTGTCCACCTGGCCAAATGGGAGCCAGGTGTCAGCAAGGTAACAATGCCTGCAGGGTCACCTTGTTCATCCAGGCACTAATTAAGCTAAATTCTGAAGGCAGATGCAGTGCCAGGGCTTAGAATTAAGTGGGAATTGTTTACGACACTTTAAAATGTGGCTTTAATCATATGGAAGTACATACTTCTGTGGGGTTATAAAGGAAATAGTTTACTGGGGGAGTAAACAAAAAAATGAACACAAACACAGAATAATTTATGCATATTCTTAACGAGGAGCAAATTTTTAAATAACTAACTTTTGTAAAACTACCTCGAATTGTGTGTTGGAGGTGTCCGATGACAACAACTGAAGAGTTTTATGTCCTCATCAGTTTTCAAGAAGGCCATTGAAAGCTGTAAGAAAAATGAGAGAAGGAAAGAAGACATGATCTTGGTTTAAAACTGTCAAACTTTCTTTGTCCTAGATAACATTATCGTAATAACAGAAGTGTGCAATGAAAATACATACATAGAGGATGCCAGGCCCCTACAGCTCTGAGTTGCAGCCAACAAAGAGCTGTTTCTCAATGACAGACACAGAGGAGCAAATCTAAAGATCCTTTGTTGAAATACAAAAGTTGGGTGTGTGGGCAGGCTGCAGGAGCTTTCTTGAACCCCAGTGGATGTCACAAAGGTGCAGGAAGATTGAATAAAATGAGGAAGTGCACAGATATATTATCATTTCAAGTCTTCACTAGAGAAGAGGGAACTGTAAGCAATCTTGCAGCTAAAGGGAGGCTAAACTCACCGCACAAGTACATGACCCACATCCCATGACTTTGTGTCATATTCTGGGCTAAGGAGGCATCCTAATAATCAGAATCATTTTTCTAGCCTCCAATCCATACCGCATGCATGCTAAGTTGCTTCAGTCGTATTCGACTCTGCCACTCCATGGACTGTACCCTACCAGGTTCCTCTGTCCATGGGATTCTCCAGGCAAGAATACTGGAGTGGCTTGCCATTTCATTCTCCAGGGGATTTTCTCAACTCAGGGAAACAACCCACATCTCCTGAAATTTGAAGTGGCTTCTTTTCCACTAGTGCCACCTGGGAAGCCCCAGTCCATACTATGCCCATCCCCCCATAAAAATTGCAGGTGCACAAAAACTAATCTGACTTTTTAAAAAAAACTGGTGCACATGAAAACCTTCCCTCATCTTAGAACCAAAATATGAAACCATTCAAAGATTTTTTTAGTGAAATTTCTATAAGAAGGAGAAAAGGAATTGGAAAACAAAAAGCAGATGAACATGGAGCAGAAGAGTTTTGTTATGGAGCCCATGAAAATATTAACTGAATTTATTCCAAGCATCCGAAGGACATAATGAAAAAGTGTTCCCTATAAATTGTGAGTGCAATGCAGAGATATGTGGGTTCGTGGAATAAATGAAAAGACAACAAAGGGAAATGAAAAAGTAAGCTGGCAGAGCTCAGAAAGAGGTAGAAATGAAAATTAAACCTCACATCATATAAATGTAGACCACATTGAACTCAGGTAATGAGAGAATGAAATCTGCTGATGTGATAGCCATGTACATGGAGGATAGATATACCTGAGGAAAGTGAAAACAATGAAACAGAAGAAAATAGATATATAAATAGAAAAGAAAATATTCAAATATAATCAAGATTTTTTTCCCTCTGAAATGAAAGAAGATCTGTTGCTACAGATTGAATGAATACATTCTATCCCTAGAAATACTAGGTAGGCTTGACCATATGTGAGAGGAAATTCTATTGAGGATATAAGAAAAAATATGAGATCTCATATGAAGAGATAGGGGGAAAAAGTCGGCCTGATACCTCACAGCAATATTTATGGCTAGTTTATGGCTATCAAAACCTACAAAGTTCTAGGGAAAATATGTGATTCAAGTATTTTATACACAAACTTTTATTCAAGAATAACATTATGGGGAATAAACTATATTTTTTAATCCTCAAAAATTGCTGGCAATATAGTAACCATAAAATATTTTGAAGAAACTACTAGAAGGTAAATTTGAGCAACCAAGTAGTACATAGAAAATCTCTGGTAAAAAGGATGTTTGCTGGTCATTAAGATGTCTCTGCCGCTGCTGCTGCTAAGTCACGTCAGTCGTGTCCGACTCTGTGCAACCCCATAGACGGCAGCCCACCAGGCTCCCCTGTCCCTGGGATTCTCCAGGGAAGAACACTGGAGTGGGTTGCCATTTCCTTCTCCAGTGCATGAAGGTGAAAAGTGAAAATGAAGTCGCTCGGTCGCGTCCGACTCTTCGTGACCCCATGGACTGCAGCCTACCAGGTTCCTCCATCCATGGGATTTCCCAGGGAAGAGTACTGGAGTGGGTTGCCATTGCCTTCTCCAAAAAGGACGTTTAGTGGGTGTTAAATCTATTTTAATTAAGGCTAAGTTTAAAACAAATGTGGCAATTATGGTGACATGGAATATGATAAATACGTAGATATTTTACATGATAAAAAATGCTGAGATTGTAACATAAAGAGCATAAGCTCTATCCTTTAAGCTCCACTGGGGTATATAAGGCACCCCTCAACTGCACCGGGATGGGGTAAGAGAAATCCTAGGGGGCAGATGCTTTGCCACCTTGGCAGTGACAGTGGAAACTGCGTGGAAAGCGGCAGCTTGCACCCACCAGGTGATGAGGAAACCACACCCTTCCAAGCTAAGGTGGAGTCAGAGGGGGTCTAGTGGGCAGTCAGGACTTTCACAAACACCAAGCAGCAATGAGGCCACTCCAGGCAAGTCAGTGAAGAGTGAGTAGGAAGCTATAAAGAGACACTTCTACCCATAAAGCCATAAAGAGTCTTTCACGTAGGATGTCAGCCTAGTGGAGGCCTAAAATCTTGCCGTGGCCCAGCAGGGATGAGGCACATTTACCCTTGCTCCCCTTGGTGGCTGTGTCGGGAACTTGGGCTTCAGCCTCTTAACAGATGAACCTCTTTCCTTGTCAGTGGAGTATCATAGGAGACTTGCTCAAACAGAAGATTTAAAGGAGATCCAGAGTCTCAAAATGTCAGGTTCATTAAAAAATTATTCATTATACCAACAACCAGGAAAATTTCAACTTGAATAAGAAAAAATAATCGAAAGGCACCAACTCTTGGATGACACTGACATCAAGATTATTTGATAAGAATTTTAAAGAAGCCATCATAAGAAATGATTCACTGACCAACAAAAAAAAAAAAAATTTTTTTTTCTAATAGAAACATTCAACAAAGAATAAGAGACATAAAGAAGAACCAAGTGGAAATTTTAGAACTGGAAAATGCAAAAACCAAAACTGTAAAAATCTCAGTTTGGAAAGGACAGAGGAACACATTAGTGAGCTCAGAGATAGATCATAGAAATGACCCAATTTAGACAGCAGATAAGGAAATGACAACAATCAAATAATAACAACAGAGCCTTGGGGAATCTGTAGAAGGGAAAAAACAAATAAATAAATTAATAAAACTCAGACTTTCATGTCATCAGAGTCCCAGAGGAGAGGAGAAAGTAAACAGAACTGAAGGAGTCAAAAGAACAATGACTGAAGATGTCCTAAACATGACAAAAAGTTTAAACCTACAGAATAAAAAAATCTGTGTGAATGCCAAACAGGATAAACCAAAAGAAATCCACAGAAGACATAACAACGTCAAACTTCTGAAAACTGAAAAAACAACAAATTTTGAAAATAGCAAGAGAAAAATAACACCTACCTTACCTTCAAAAAAAAAAAAAAAGACTAAAATAAAATCAAGGTAAATAAATAGGTACAGACACAGCAAGCACTTTTGAGCAAAAGTAAAGCGGTAGTTATGATGTAACTGAGCAGGACCCCAAGGGGCCTTCCCAGGGAAGGCCTTCCCCCATATTCTCTGCTTTAGCTCCTCTCTGAAATACCTAGATAACAGTATTTGGTGCCCATTTCCTGAGTTGTTTTGCAGATGTTAAAAAAAAAAAAAGAAAAACTCCCCCTCTCCAACAAATGGAGACAACAAACTACCTACTGACCTTGAGCACTCAGCTCCAGGCCTGCTGGAGTCTAAGAACTGATAATGTTAATCCCTTGACAACACCCTCCTACCTCACAATCAGCCGGTCATAGAGTTGTGCACCAGCTGATCACAGACCCTGGAACCCCTCTCCTCACCTGACTTTTAAAAATGCTTTGCTGCAGCCCTGTGAGGAGCTGGGGCTTTTGAGAGCGTGAGCCACCTTGCAGGCCCTGCAATAAACCTTTCTTTGGTCTGAACTCTGATGCTTCAGTTTGTTTGACCTTACTGTGTGTTGGTCACATGAACTTGCATTAACAATGACATCAATATCACTGTTAACTTTTATAGTTAATAAGTGATTTTTATGTATGCTAACAGGGAATAAGATCTATGATAAGAGAAAAAAGAACATGATGTACGGCTTGAGAGTTTTGTTTACTCACTAAGTAGTATCTGACTGGCTCTTTTGCAACCCCATTAACTGTATAGCACACCAGGCTCCTCTGTCCATGGGATTCTGCAGGCAAGAACACTGGAGTGAGTTGAGATTCCCTTCTCCAGGGGATCTTCCCAACCCTGGGATCATTACAGGCAGGTTCTTTACCACTGAGCCACCAGAGAAGCCCCTTGAAAGTATTAGGTGGATTGAAATTTTGAATCAAGTGGTCAGGGTAAGTCTCTTTGAAGTGAAGCCTATACGGGAAAAAGCAAGTACCAGTGATGTTTTTTAGAAGGGAGACTGAAAGACAGAGCTGAGGGATGGAACACTTTTCTCCATAATATACCTTGATATACTGCTTGAATATTCATTGTGTAATTACAATAACTTTTCTAAAGTTATTCACACAATTCTGTGTGAATGTTGTTTAGGACTTAGAACAACGGAAAGAAACATTTCTAAGCACTCCTCACTTTTCTGATTGTTTTTTTTGTCCAAAGTCCTATCTTAAAGTCCCATCTTTCAACTGATTCACCAGTTTCAGGAGTACATTTCAGCATTCAGATTGGAAGATGAATAGGCCTCCTGGGTGATGAAATTGTTTTGGAAGGGTGAAAGGGACACAAATAAAGTTAATCTTAGTAGTATAAGACCTGGTGTCTTGATTCTGCTTAATTGCCTTAAAGGCAAAAGCCAAAAATACATATGATGATGTTTCAAACATTAATTGTACAACCATATCTGGTTTTTTTTTTTAATAAAATTAAAATGCTTCTCTCATTTGATACTTAGGAGAAGGCAATGGCAACCGATCCAGTACTCTTGCCTGGAGAATCCCAGAGATGGTGGAGCCCGGTGGGCTGCCGTCTATGGGGTCGCACAGAGTCGGACACGACTGAAGCGACTTAGCAGCAGCAGCATCAGCATTTGATACTGAAGTTAAGTGCACCTATTCATTTAAATAAAGGCTAGAGAGAGTCATACAAATCAAAGTATGCGCTCTGTTGTTTATTAGCCAAACATAAGAGCAAGTTGGTTTTCCCAGGTGGCCCAGTGGTTAAAAAAAATCTGCCTGCCAGTGCAGGAGACACAGAGACATGAGTTTGATCCCTGGGTCAGGTCAGTCCCCTGGAGTAAGAAATGGCAACCTGCTCCAGTATTCTTGCCTGGAAAATTCCATGGACAGATGAGCCTGGCAGGCTACCGTCCATGGGTCACAAAAAGTCAGACACGACTGAGCAAGCATGCAGTTAGAGCAAGTTAAAACTTTTTTAGCCCTCTAACGTCTCTTCTGCTAGCTAAAATAGCAAGAGAGTCAGAAGTTCTAGATTTGAATCTTGGGTCTTATCTTTTGGCTGCTTAAGCATGAGCAAGACTTTAAGTTTCTCAGCTGCAGTTTTCTCAAGTGTAAAATAAGAATACTGTTACCCACATCAGAGAAATATGTTAAAGCATTAAATGAGATAATTCATGTGGAAAATATCATTATGTAAAGCTACTATAAACTAGAGGGTATAAATGGTAGGCCTTTGGCCAAATCTAGCCACAAATGTGTTTGAATTGGCTGACATAGTTTTGGCTTCCACAGTGCTATAAAACAATTTTAATTAGTTGCCAACTTTCAAATATTAGATGATTTCATATAAAATATGGATTTTGAGTTTTCCTGAAAAAAAAAAAAGCATATTCATTGGCTATGTTGGGCCCATGGCAAAACAAAATAAATGTGAGTAATGGTTACTCTCCCACAGGTGGCACTTCCCATCATTCAATTATTTTCCCTCTGACAATGAAGGCTCAATTTCCCTTACGTCTGGTTAGCTTCACTCACGTGTATCTTAACTCCTCTTGCCAGTACATTTTTGTTTGTGTCACCTACCACTTTGTATTGAAGTGCTTTTCACATTTCAGCACAGAGGCATTAAGGAGCAAGTGACTAATGCATCTTTATCAATTATGGGATTAAATACATAAAATCTCCCATCACTAGTCTAAGACTGATCTCTGTTTTACATAGAACATCTCCAGTTCCTCAAGTATACCAGGCACATAGTTATAAGCTCAATAAATATTTATGGAGTAAATGAAAATTTGAATGAATGACATTGATGTGCTTACTACCTGAAGGATATATCTGAGCAGTTGTTTGTTTTAATTTGAGTATTTTAAAAAATGATTTTGCTATATGGATTTGATTAGTCTATCTGAAGCAGAGTAAAATATTTACTTGCATGACATTTTTACTTGGTTTGATTTCTTGAATTTTTACTGCAGTATGTCCTCCAACAAAATATGGCCCAAATTGTGAACTACAATGCACCTGTAAAAATGGTGGCCTTTGCAATCCTGTAGATGGAAGCTGTACCTGTCCCCTTGGATGGACAGGAGATTATTGTGAAAAAGGTAAGTTGATTACTACCTTCTTTTATTCAATAAAATCTACAGCATACTGCCATTCATTGATAAAATATGGTAGAAACCTGTGAAGGGGCTATTTTCCAATACATTTATGCAAGTTGTTTATAGTTTATGATTGCATTTCTAATAAAAATAGTGTTATGTTAATACCGATTGATTTTGTTACTTTGTTACTGGAATACCACATGAAAACCCTTAAAACTCTTAAGTAATTGAAATAGTATTAATGTGAAAGAGCTCCTGTGAGACCTAAATCCCACTCCCCCTCCAGCCAATTCTTGAGGTGGGCAGGGCAAAGGATGCGGGGCCCTGGGCAGACCCAGCTCACATCAGGAGTGGGCCCAGCTTCAAAACGTGAAGAGCACTCTGGGACCAGAGGTCTTAAAACTGCACATCATCAGGAGAAATTTAATCATGTACCACCATAAATGTACTTTTATTTAGAAGTGATATTCATGTGCTGCTCCATATTAGAAAAATTGATAATGAGTGGATAGAAATAAATATCGATAGTTGTTCTAATGTTTGCTTTTCAAACCACGGTTGATTATTTTGTACAGCACTGGAAAGCATGCACCTAATTAGAGCACACTTTTGAGAAGATGGTGTTGTGTTTTTCAGAACATTGAGAAAGGGTAGTGAGACACAGCATGGATGAGAACACTGTTCTTGGGGCCTAACACTGGGGCTCCCTGAGTGAAAAATAATCCACAGTGAATTTATACTGAGTTGATTCCAACTATGGGATCTCTGGCTCCTTAGACCTGGGACCCTGACGTACTCTCATAATGGGTGTAATTACCCACCGGCTTCACCACTCATTTGACTGTCATGAAACTTGGCATCACAGCACAAGTGAAAATATCTTGCCATGGGATTGCCTAGACCCTTATGCTAATTCCTGCTCTGCTGATACCTTGCTCTGGGCCATAAGGACATTCACAACATCTTCCCAATAGTTTCCCATCTGAAAGTGAGGATGATGACCCTAAAATGACAGCCCATCTAAAACCAACATTCAAGTAAGACCAATTTTCATGGAATTTTTAAAACCGTGGATCTCCTCCCTTAATTCAAGGGAGATAGCTCCTATCAACATTGTGATACTTAGGACTCCAAAAGCAGAATAATAGCATTTTGTGTAGAATAGACGTGCTCTTGATTTTATTTTGGATTTTAAGTTAGATAACTCTCAAGCATTTGGGGATGTGGGATATTTTAATTTCTAGTTCTATCATTTAAACCTTTTATTATGGAACATTTCAAACATATACACGAGTTACTGAGTCATGGGGTAATTACAAATGTAACTTTGCAACATATGGACAAATTATCTTTCATGTGAGATTATACCATATTTCTTCCTCATAAACAATATATGGTTATCAAAGGACTATATTATGCAATTTGGTGAGAACTATTAGTGGTGTTTTCATTTTCATTTTTATTATTATGAATAATGTTTAGCATCCTCTCTAATGGCTAAGGAATTTTGCATTTCTTTTTCTATAAATTGTCTATTTATACTGTAAATAGTTGTCATTTCAATGTGCCCAGGGGAGGAAGTGAGCCCAGGGTCTGTGTGTTCCACAGTCTTGGCCACTCTCATCACTGTTGGCTTTTTCTCCAACAAGATTATTGGGCTTCTTACATAACAGCTGACATCTTAAAGCAGAAGTTGTCAGGTCTTCCTAAGACATAGAAATGATCTGTCATCAGTTTTACCACATTCTCTTGGGTACAGCCAGTTATGGATTCAGCCCACATTCCACAAGAGGATTGACGATGCAAGAGTATGAATCCCAGGTGATGTGCTTTATTAAGAGCACCTTTGAATTATAGATTCTGCATTATTCAAAAGGATTTTGTTTTCTTTTTTTGTTATAAAATTATCTTTTCTCTATTTTGTAAAATGTTGAGTCTTAATTAGGGATGGACTCCCCATTCTCAGGTTTTAGAAGAATTCAGCTATGTTTTCTTTTAGGACTCATATGACACCATTTTTGACATTCAATTCTCTGATCAATTAAAAATATTTTTCTTAGTGAATCATGTGAGGAATAGATTCATTTCCCACTTATGTGGCTGTTCAGTTATCACACAAGTCTATCTCTCCCACTGATTTGAGATGAAGGCTTCATTGAGAACTAAACATTAATACGCAGTTAGATATAGTTTCTGATGTTCCATTCTGTTGATCTGTTTATGTGAAAATGCAATAGTGTTTTTATTAGGAAGTCTTTATTATATGTATTTGATATTGACAGAGCTAGCCATCCTTCATTACTTTCCTTTTTGGGGATTTCCTGGTGCTATTCTTGTTAATTTGTCCTTCCAAATGAAATTTATAACCAAATCATCCAGATGCAGGAAAAAAAAAATCAGTTTTTTTCCCATTGTTTTATTGTCCTCTGGGAGAATTATTGTTTTAGGGAGAATTAGCATATTTCTGATATTAACTCATCTTATCCAAGAACAAACATGGTCTATCTTTCCATTTGTGTAAGCTTTTTGTTCCCCAATAAAGTAAAACACTGGATTTTAATATTCATATTATGACATAGCTATTAATTTTTTAATTTAGTCATCATTTTACTGAATTTTAAATGACTTTATAATTCAAATGTTTCTTCTGCATTTGTTAAATTACTAATATGATTTTTTTCTTTAGGCTGATAAGTATGATGGATTTATCAAATAATTTTTAATATTGCATAACTGTATTCTTAGAATAAATATTAGTTGTGATATATTACTTTATAATATGTTATTGGCTTCTGTGTACTTTTTATGAATTTGGCATCAATATCATAAGTAAAATTGAAGTATAGTTTTTTATGCATTTTTTGAGGGGGTTTTGGAAGTGATGTTATACTCACATAATAAAATCTATTTGGAATTTTCCTTCTTTTTCAATACTATAGAGTATATATAAGTAATAAGGTGATGATCTGAACTGTAAAGGTTTATAGGATTTACCTGTGAAGCTCAGGAGTGGTGAATTTTTTTTGGTTTTAATTGGAGCTGTTTTCTATTTTCTCTATTGTTTTTCTGTTATAACTAGCCTAAGGTTTTCTGCTTCAAATTAGGAAAATGTTGGTAAGTTGTCTTCTGTAAGTTTTCTGTTTCATTAAGGTTTATGTATTTGTCTTATACTTTTTATATCGATTCCTTTTGATGATCATTGCACATTTTTTAAAAAAGTGTGTGTATTTGTACTTTTCTTCTTTTATTTTGATCACTTGGCTAATGATTTGTCTTTTTCATTAATTGTACTGTTTATTTCTGTCTTCAAATTCATTACAGGTTTAATTGTCTTAACTAGAGTTATTTCTTTTGTGGTTTCTTTTTCAGAATGTTTTCCTGGTTATTATGGTCCAGGCTGCCATTTTAATTGCACATGTCAGAACAATGGAGTTTGCAGTAGGTTTTCTGGAAGATGTGAATGCCTCCCTGGTTACTACGGAAGGGACTGTGAACACGGTAAACAGAGAAAATGAGTGGGCATGTTATGACGTTGACAAGTTTTAAAAAATATTTTTAAATCATAAAATAATACATTCACATTATATCAAACTAGATAAACTTAATATTTTAATATTTATTCTTGCAATATATTTCATAGCTCTAATTTAAGTTCTAGGTGTTGACAACTATCATGATGATGAAGTAATTGAACTTCTTTATTCATTTTGGAATAGCTGTTTAAAAAATGTCTGTGGTTCTACGATTATCTACAGTAGACACAGGCAGACACATGCAGTGGAGTCAGCTGTTGGTCTTTTTAAATATACTGATATTTCTTTATATCATTCTTCATTTGGACTCTATATTTTCAACTAAACTAGGTAAAGGGAGAATTCTGCCATAATTTGTCTTTGACATCAGAGAACCCTGATGGACAATAGAGCTAAGAGATTAAGATGTGAGAGCTTAGCCTCTAGAATTAGTTGTATATGGCCTGCCTCTGCCATATAAAATATGTATAAACAAAATTTTTGTAAGTTTTAGCTTTTTAGCGTATATAAAATGAAGATAATAATAAACTCGCCTTAAAAGGTCATCATTAGGATTAAATAAGAAGATACTTGGAAGCATTTAGCACTGAAGCATGTTGTAAAAGGCTTCCCAGGTGGCACTAGTGGGCAATTACCCGCCTGCCAATGCAGGAGACATAAGAGATGTAGGTTTGATCCCTGGTTGGGGATGATCCCCTGGAGGAGGGCATGGCAACCCACTTCAGTATTCTTGCCTGGAGAATCCCACGGACAGAGGAGACTAGTGGGTTACAGTCCATAGGGTTGCAAAGAGTTGGACATTCTGAGGCTACTTAGCATGCACGCATGCATGCATGTTGTAAAAGCTGATGAACATTAATTACTTACAAATCAAGTCTTTTTTAAAGCCTCTGTAGTTGGTGGCTCAGATGGTAAAGAATCCACCTTCAATGCAGGAGACCTGGATTGGATCCCTGGCTTGGGAAGATCCCCTGGAGAAGGAAATGGCAACCCATTCCAATATTCTTGCCTGGAGAATCCCCATAGACAGAGGAGGCTGGCAGACTACAGTCTGTGGGGTCACAAAAACTCAGACACAGCTGAGCGACTAAACACAGCACAGTGATATTAACAATATTTAAAATTGTTTCCACTTGTTTCAACCTGTCTTTAGGCTCTAGAAAACATATTTCACAGAAACAAATTCTAGTAACCCTTTCTAGGTTTAGAATTATTGCCAGCACTCTGATGTTTCTTGGGTTAGGGTGTATGAAAGTAAACATCATGTAGTTTTTGTTTGTTTTGTTTTCAATATTGGAATAAGAGATACAGAAGAGGGGAAAAAAGTTCCCACAAATTTCATCCTGCTTACAGTAGGGTAGCAAGGAAGATTTTGAGCAGAGAGGGGACATCCCTCTGGTGAAAGAAATCTGTAAAGTGGATACATTATTAACTATTAGGAAAAGTATCCATTGATTCTGTCCACACAGGAAGCTATCGTGATGATCTAGGATTTCAAAAATCTATTCTGGGATCAAAATGTAAATGGATGAACAGAAAAGTATGTTGGAAGAACAATTGACTGTTTTTTGGCGATTGACTTGGACATACAGATGAGGGAGATGTAGGAATCAAAGATAACTCTAAAGTTCTAAGCCAATGGACATGAAAGAATGATAATATTATTTAGACAAAAGGGAAAGTTGAGCAAACCAACATTTATGAGCTCAGTTTTTTTATATAATTAAAATAGGGGAGATAAAGGAGGCTTCCCTGGTAGCTCAGCTAGTAAAAACAATCTGCCTGCAATGCAGGAAACTCCAGTTTGATTCCTGGGTCAGGAATATCCCTTGGAGAGGAGATAGGCTACCCACTCCAGTATTCCTGGGTGTTTCTGGTGGCTTAGTCGGTAAAGAATTAAAGAATCTGCCTGCAGTGTGGGAGACCTGGGGATCTCTGGGTTGGGAGGATCCCCTGGAGGAGGGTATGGCAACCCACTCCAGTATTCTCGCCTGGAGAATCCCCATGGAGAGAGGAGATTTGATTTTTTTATGTATTGTCAACAACAATTATATAAGATCGAATAGAAGAAAACTTGCACTATATCTTCCTTTATTATTCATTTTTTAAGAGTTAAAATGAGATTATAAGATGGAAGACTGTATATCATACAAAATAATTCATTCCTCATCTCTTTGGTTTTACCTTCTTTTTCTGCTCTCTGATGTGAGTTTTTTCCTAATGTTAAATATGTCCTAAGTAACTCCATTTATGCTAAAGTGTCACACACTTGAAGACTAGGCAAATCCAGCTCTAGGTGCCTGGGAACGGGGGTTGGGGGACACAAAGAGAGGAAGAAAGTGTGAAGAGCAAGAGTGAGAGGGAGAGAAAGAGAGAGGGGATAATTGAAGGGAAAGGAAATTGCATACCCCTTCTGTTCCCACTGGTGAGTAATGAGTATAGCCATAGACAAAACCCAAGTAATAAATGAGAATCCTTTGCTTGCTGTCAAAATTAGCTCTCACATACCTCCTTCAGGGTGACCATCTCCCTGGGCAGAGGACAATTTTAGCATTCCAAGGAAAGCATTTGTTTGGACCACATGGTATCTAAACCAATTACTTCTGATGTTCAGCCACAAAAATATCTCCAACCATGGAGGAAAAACAGATTATATTGGACTTGCTAAGAAATAGTTCTACATTGTACTTCTATGGGCTATCTAAAGAAATTTTTTAAAGATTAAATTTCACTGACTTTAATACATGACTTCATCATAAGATGTTAACTTACTCCATACATATACATCATATTCTCTTTTATTTACTTTCTTCCTCTTTTTCCTCCCCGGTTTTCTTTCTATCCCTTTCCATTATCTATCCCCAGGACTTCAAATACCAAGAGCTATATGAATCACCTTCCACAGATAGTCTCTTATTTATTTAAAAAATTTTAAATTCTCACTAAAGTTAGCCTGGATCTGAAGTTAGAAAACATTGCTATTTTAGTTGTTTAGGTTATTAGAGGGTTTTGATGAAGTCTTTGTCAGACTATAATGCATTACAGCAAATCAATTTTATCTACTTGAAGATATCTTACATTTTCTTGTGGACTTTTCTAGACTAGTGGTTGAGAATGGCACTGATATATTCACATATCTGCATGATGAATGTACTGTCACTGTGCTTCTCCATGTAATTTTTCCTTGCTTTCCAGTTCTGGGCCTCTTTTCTCTTTCTTTGGTCCCGGGAAAGAGATTACCTAGAATATATCCTTTAATTTTTCCCTTATTTATTCTTAAAGCCAAAACAGTGTTTTGACATTTCCATTTTCTAGCATGCCTTCCTGGATTTTATGGTTTGAATTGTGCTCACATCTGTGACTGCAAAAATGGAGCCAATTGTGATGCAGCCAGTGGACAGTGCATTTGCCCAGCAGGTTTCCATGGCAACCAGTGTGAAAAAGGTATAGCCAGGGTGTTTCTAAGCATTGAATGTGGGGATTCTGAGTGACTGTGAGATCTTTCCATCTGGTGGGAAACATGTAAACCTGAATCTCAAACATGGAATAATCACCTGAGCTTCTGATGTGGACATTAAAGTGACAAGAATTCACTCTTACAAGCAGTAAAATGAGTCCTGATCTTATTGCTGATTGGTCAAAATTTTTATTCTCCCCTAAATGAAACTATTTAGGATCTCAAAACACCACTAAAGCAGTTAGTCTTCAATGGAAAAGGATTCTGCTTTGAATGAGAAATATTTCATTAAATACTTTGAAAAGGATGACATGCATTGGGTTCAGTGGTACTGAAACAGATTCAAGGGCTTTATGAAAATATTAAAGATGTGAACTAGGTGTTCATCAGCAGAATAACAGCCATGGATGTGGATGAAGATATATAGGTGAGAAAGTGGGCTGTCAGTTTGAAATAAAATATTATTAAGCCCTGGTCCAAATTAAGCCCTGGTCAAATATAATTAAGCCCTGGTCAATTCAAAGCAATACAGAACCACATAGTTTTCAATAAATAATTCCAAGTTTCGTTTTAGTTTATATTATGTTTGCTCTTGTGCATATAGTTACAGCAACCCCAATAATTATAAAGATAATATAATGATAGGGGTCATTTGACTTTATGTGAATCAAAGTTCTTGCCTTAAAAAAGGAACTATATATTAGTTCTATATCCTATTCTCATAGGTCACTAGAACTGTACATATAGTATCTCTTGTCCATCCTTTATTCACTTATTCATTTATTATGTAACAATTTGAAAAAATGTACACATATTATGTGCTTGCTATTTAAAGACTGGAAATATAGTGAAGCTTACCATCTTCTGGAGAAATAGTAAATAAATAAATAACATTATAAGGAATACTAAAGGAATGGTTCCCTGGTGTCTCAGTGGTAAAGAATCTGCCTGCCAATGCAGAAGACACAGGTTCCATCCCTGGGTCGGGAAGATCCCCTGGAGAAGCAAATGGCAACACACTCAGTATTCTTGATGGGAAATCCCATGGACAGAGGAGCCTGGCAGGCTACAGTCCATGGGGTCACAAAAGAGTCAGACACAACTTAGTAACAAAACAGCAACACTTAAAATAATGTACCTGGCTGGATGACTCAGTCTCATTCCTTAAATTTCTGTCTTCAGAAAGCTTACATACATTCTAACAGGTGCAAACCAGTGTTGAAGTAAGTCGCAAGTAAGGCGCAAGTATGAACTTATGTATAAAATGAAGCTGCATTCCAGAACTTTCCTCTCTTCTTCCAATCAATCTCATTTTATCTTCCCACTATGCTTTTCAAGAAACTGTATCTNTCTGGTTTCCTTGGTGTGTGTGCCCAGCAGTGGAATTGCTAGGTTGTATGGCAGTTCTATTTCCAGTTTTTTGAGGAATATCAACACTGTTCTACATAGTGGTTGTACAAATTTGCATTCCCACCAACAGTGTAAGAGGGTTCCCTTTTCTCTACATCCTCTCCAGCATTTATTGTTTGTAGACTTTTTGATAGCAGCCATTCTGACCAGTATGAGATGGTTCCTCAATGCGGTTTTGATTTGCATTTCTCTGATAATAAGTGATGTGGAGCATCTTTTCACATGTTTGTTAGCCATCTGTATGTCTTCTTTGGAGAAATGTCTGTTTAGTTCTTTGGTCCAATTTGTGATTGGGTTGTTTATTTTTCTGGTATTGAGCTGCATGATCTGCTTGTATATTTTTGAGATTAATTTTTTGTCAGTTGCTTCGTTTGCTATTATTTTCTCCCATTCTGAAGGCTGTCTTTTCACCTTGCTTATAGTTTCCTTCATTGTGGATTATTGCCATACCTCTTTACAGGTCTCTCTGGCTTTGCCCTTGCCCACCCACAGTCTTTTTTGCACTGTGGTGTTGGAGAAGACTCTTGAGAGTAGCTTGGACTGCAAAGAGATCCAACCAGTCCACCCTAAAGGAAATCAGTCCTGAATATTCATTGGAAGAACTGATGCTGAAGCTGAAACTCCAATAATTGGCCACCTAATGCAAAGAACTGCCTCATTTGAAAAGACCCTGATGCTGGGGAAGATTGGGGGCAGGAGGAGAAGGGGACGACAGAGGATGAGATGGTTGGATGGCATCACTGACTCAATGGAGATGAGTTTGAGCAAGCTTCGGGAGATAGTAAAGGACAGGGAGGCCTGGCATGCTGCAGTCCATTGGGTCACAAAGAGTCGGACATGACTGAGCAACTGAACTGAACCCATAGCCTATTCACGACACTGAAGCCAGAGAGATACTTTCAAAATGTTAATCAGGTCATATCACCCTAAGATGAACAGTCTCTAACACTCCCTATTTCACTCAGAATAAAAACCAAAGTTTTTATGGAGTCCCACAAGGACCTACCTGAGTAATTCTTCATCTACTCTCTTACCTCTCTGACCTCACTTCTTACTACTTTCCTCATCCTTTACTTCACTCAGTACACAAAACAAGACTGGAGGCTGACTATGGCTCAGATCATGAACTTCTTATTGCAAAATTCAGACTTAAATTGAAGAAAGTAGGGAAAAACACTAGACCATTCAAGTATGACCTAAATCAAATCCCTTATGATTATATAGTGCAAGTGACAAATAGATTCAAGGGATTAGATCTGACAGAGTGCCTGAAGAACTATAGACAGAGGTTCGTGACATTGTGTAGGAGGCAGGGATCAAGACCATCCCCAAGAAAAAGAAATGCCAAAAAAAGAAAGGAGGTTTGAGGCTACGCATTTCTAACATCATTTCCAGCACTAATCTGTGATTCTGTAATCTAGAATTTCAATCATGATGTAAAAGCCTCAGTAACCTTCCAGGTCAGGCTTCCCTGGTGGCTCAGTGGTAAAGAATTTGTCTGCTAATGTAGGAGATGCAGGTTTAATCCCTGGGTCGGGAAGATCCCCTGAATGAGGAAATGGCATCCTACTCTAGGGTTCTTGCTTGGAAAGCCCCGTTGACAGAGGAGACTGGTGGGCTATAGTTCATGGGGTCGCAGAGTCAGACACAACTTAGTGACTGAACAAATAATAAATACAACACCAACCTTCTACGCAACAGGAGAGTGCTAGTCACCTAACATCCATCTCCCCCACCCCACCTTGCTGCTGAGAAATAGCAATAAAAACGACTTGCTTTGAATGCCATTCCCTGCCCTAAACTTTGCTTATATTTATTTCATCCGTATCACAACCCCATGAAATCACTGATGTTCTTATTCCCATTTGACAGATGAGGAAGTGGAGGCACAGAAAGTACAAAGTGGCAGAGCCAAGATTTGAACCCAGGTACTCTGGCTTCAGGCCTTGGGTGATGCTATTGGAAGACGATACTGTATATGTAAACATCTGTATCTAGTCCAGAATAAGGAACCTCCAGTGGCTCATTAAGAGTCTTGTATTCCTTCCAACCCCTCCTTCTTCCCTTCTGTGCAGAATTACAAAATAAGGCCAAGAGGTTTTGAGTATTCACTAGGAATCCTTTGGATCTTCAAACTCAGGAGCTTACTGATATTGACATTTCTTCCCTGAAAATCTGCTTCATTTGTATCTTTAATCCTTGTGTTTCACTGCATTACAAGTTTCTTGAGAGTCGAATCCATGTTTACTTATCTTTTATCAAAAACATTTAGAATTAGGTCTAGCACATGATAGCCTCAGCAAAATTTCTTTGAATTCATTCTCACTTCCTTTCTCCATTTTCTGGGTGGAGTCATGATAGAAGCACCTGAACTTGGTCACATCTAAACTAAATTCAGAATAAACATCTACATGACATCATGATGAAGCCACAGGACACAGTCTCCAATGAAATGCTCACAAAAGGCAGTGCTTTTAGCCTTTGTGGTTTCATCTAAATCCTCAAGAAACCCATTAATGTATATTGAATGCATATTATCAGCCAGGCATTTTCATTTACAGTAGATGCCTTTACTATTATCACCATGCCCATTTTCTAGGTGAGGAAGCTGGGAGCTGAAGGTTAAGTAAGTTGCCCAAGGTTAATAGCTGGTAAATGGGAGCTTAGGGATTTGAAACAAGCAGTCTGGATCTAGAGTTAGACTTTTAACATCCCCACTAGATACTGACTCTCAAGGAAAAGAAAGGGATAGGAACTGCTTTCAGTTGTCTATCTGCCTTGTCCACTAACCAGAGTGATTGCTGTTTAATTTAATTTAATTTAAAATTCGCCTCCACAGTCACACATGACATTTTAAGTGCTCAGTGGCCATATGACTAGGGGCTGCAGTATCAAATAACTTGGTATAGAACATTTTCATCATTTCAGAAAGTTCTATCCAACAACATTTAGCAATGACTTAAAACTAGCCACTAAACCAGGAGAGCTGATGGATAAGCTGAAAATTAAAACCTTACTGTATGGAGTTTCTATGGACCAAATTTGCTGTCACATAGTCTCTTTCATCCACAAGTAAATTGCCACGTGACAGTGGATGCTTTGTATTAACTTGTTAATTCTAGGTGGGCACCTCAAGGCCTCTCTTGTTGTGAGCTCTTTGGGGTACCTATAGCCTACACAGACGTACTGTGGGCTCTTTTATTTGCATTTTTATTTTCAATTAGGCACAGTTCATCTGCGATATTAACTGTGAACAGCTGTGTCTATGCAGGCACTATAAAGATAAAAGACCTCGTTTTAATTTGAACTCTGGTAAAGAACCTATTAAACAGCCATAATATTAATTCATAAAAGAATGTAGCAGCTTTTTATTGGATTACTTCCCCACCCCCTTGGTAAATTAACATTTGCAGACATTCAAACAGATGTCTTAAATACACATCGTTATTAACATGAAAATGTGGTATTTTTGTAAATTAAAATCAGATTCTGAACTGCTCAGGAGAGATCCTGACTCATAACTCTTTTTCAACAAGAAAACTAGGTCTTAAAACCAAACTAAGTAATCCTTCCACACACTGGGCAGCAGTGGGTGTGTTAGGTTAAATTCAAAATGACACAGTTTTGTTTGTTCATAAAGTTTGATCATTAAAAAAAAAAAAAAGATTCATTTCAGAGTAATATTTGCATCACCTCCCGAGTTCCTTCTGCCTACCTGTTGTTCCTTGATTTAGGAAGAGATTGAATTTGTTTGCTCATGTTGAAACTCTGTCAAAAGATTAATTGTAAAATTGACATATGTTTTCCTTTATCTCGTATTTTAAATGCAACTAGTTAATTAAGATGAGAGCTATGCCTCTCATGCCTAAATCTATCTTCATTATCCAAGAAAGAAAATTAAAATAAACATGCACTGCTTGTGGAATATTTATGGTGAATCTCTAAACCAGCAAAAAGAATTTTGAGACCCGAAAGACATGTTTAACAAAATTTTGCTCACAGACTCAGAATCTGCTCTAGGTGTATGTATCTTTATATTTATATTGCTATCTCTAATTTTTTCTACCTTCCAGCTTTCCACTTTCTGATTTGGGCTTTCTTTTCCATGTGCTTAATACCTGGTGTCTTTCTACACGGTAGTGCAGAATAAGGAATGAGCACTTGAGAATTTAGAAATTCACCTCTGTCATTTTCCAGGGGTCTAATATTTGAGAAGTTCCCTTAAGACATTCAAACCTTAGTTCATCTCTTTCCAGAATGAGAGAGCTTACCTCACTACCTTTCCTACCTCACAGGTGTTTGTTAGAGCCAATTAAGATATATTAGGAACCCATTTTGAAAAATGGCATAGAGCTAGATGAATGTTATTATTGCAAAGTTAAGTTTCTCTGGTCCTTAAACGTTGGTAAATTGAGTTATTTCCCAGTCTTGCCTGACTGCCTAAGAAATGTGAAACCATTTTCTGTTTCCATGGGTTGGGCTTGGCTTTCTTCCCAAGCTCGCAATCCTTCAGAAACAGAACCTGTTAATTCTCTGCTAAGTCTCTGCTGGATATCAGACTAAGACAAAATACACAGGTTGGGGTGTGATTTTGGAAGGGGGACTTTTTTTTAGTCCATGTTTTGTTATTTTGATAAAGCTAACACTTTTTTAATTCCTTTTCTTCATTTCTCTACTGATTGTGATCACAATGCAATTCAAGTTAAAGATAGTTATAACCCTTTAGTACATATAGCAGGATCCTCCGTGAGATCTATAATCCTTTCAACATATGTTAAGAGATGAAAGAGTTGAATTTAAAGTCATTTCATTTTCAGCAACATAAGCACAAGTAATTGTGTTTTCAACCTAAAGGCAAATTTCATATATTGTGTTTTCTGGGTAAGTGTTGCCTTTTTCTGACCTCAAGACAACTAATCCATTTTCCTCCTGTCCCTCACAAAGCGCTACTATAAGCTGTATCGAATAATCTAATTTTGAGAAGGCATTTTGAAAATATCAGTTACTGTCCCGTCTTCTCATCTGTTTGTCACTGACTTTCTTAGCACTCTTCAGCCTCCTCCTGTTTCCCATTAAAGTCCTTACTTTCTTATATAACATTCTTAGCATGGGAAAAAGATATCAATGGTTAACCAGAATTCTTTACAAGCCTATCATTATCTTATTGAATTCCAAGAAATAGTAGTAAAAAGACTGATTGAAACGCATATTTGAATTGGTTTTATTTTTGTTTTTTCCCCTCACAGAATGCAGGTCAGGCCAGTACGGACCCAACTGCTCTTTGAAGTGCCAATGTGTCCACACGGCTCACTGTGACCCTCTTAATGGGCGCTGCAATCGCCCGCCAAACAGAATGGGTCCAACCTGTGAGGAAAATGGTTTGGATGATCCTCAATAACCAAATGCTAACAGCTTTTCAGTGGATGAATAGAATTTTGCTGAGGTTCACCCATGGTTCATCTTCTTAACTTTGGCAGAGAAATGTACTTATTCAACCATCTTCGGCCCAGCCTCGCCTGTTGTGAGGTGAAAGACAGGACGTCTCAACTTTATGGCCTCCAAGCACAAGTTCCATTCTCTAGGCTACCCTTCCCAACTTCCTTTCGCTGAAGAACATGCCCAAGGAAAAGAGAATGTTTTTTCAAGGTCCCAAATCATAGTAACATTTTGGACTAATAAATGAAACTCTTTTTTTATATGCACAGGAGGTATTTAAATTTGGAAGTAAGAACTGCTTTTCAGTTCAGGTTGGACTGCACTGAAATATTCACACCTATTCACTGAAGACCTCAGTGACCATTAAGTAGCTGGATCCTCTTTAGAAATGTCTAGAATTTCATCTATTTATTCTCGGTATCCTGCTTCACAGCTAAGTCAGCTTCAGATTGTTAATGTATTGTATTTCAAACATGACTTTTGGTGTGGGAGGCTATTAAGACTTTAGCCACATAAAGATCAGGGTAAAAGTATGACGTGCAGACTTAACAATGAATCATCAAAATGTTTAGTGGTGTTCTCCTCATCACTGGTCAGCAGACAGGAAGAAAAAGTGAGTACAACTGATCAAGGCAAGTGCTTAGCCTGCTCCACAGATTTCCCATGGAGCAGGACCTGATTGGAAGTAAACTTTTAATCCACACTGTAATCTTGACCCAAACTGTTCATCATTTAGGTTGGTTCTATAACATGTGTAAGCATGAGCCATGTCATGAGCCCCAGAGAGACACATCTATAAATATGATTATATTCTTGCTCTCAACTGGTATATAAGTGTTTGAAATTTCAGATGACTGTTTAATTCACTTTAAATAACAATAATTTTCTTGATTAGAAATGTTGTCACTCATGTTATCTAATAGGATAAACAGAGAATACTGAAATTACATGACTATATATTTGACTTAAAACAATATGTACACAAAATAGTATTTAAAGCTCTTAAATAAAATTTTAAATAAAATCTTTAAAACTTTTAAATAAAATCTTAAGAAAGATTTGACAGGGATTTATGAAAAATGTTTGGTGTTATCAATTCACTAGTTTATGATCTTTACTTAACATGTATTTTCCTATATCTCAGCACAGTTGACAGAGATATATCATATCTACAATAGACAGCCATGTCAAATTTACTGTTATTAAATAATATGAAAATATGATTAGATAACATCCTCAATGATTGCTTCTAAATTTGCTTTGGTCTTAAAAGAGCTACAATCAACTTATCCTTTTTTAGTTTCCATCTATAGTATTTGAAATTAAAGTTTTATGTTTACAATTGAAGTCATTTTAACTATTTTTATCCAGTCAATTGAAAACTATGCCTTATTCTGAATATTTGACCATTTTCCTTACCTTTTATGTTTAAAACTCCTCTCAGCATCCTCATCTTACCTGCAAAGAGTATAAGCAGCTTTCTTTCTCACACTGCCATCTACCACTGAACTCCCTTCATTTCAAGGCTTAAAAAAACAGTGACTGCAAATAGGGGAGAAAAGCAAGATACCAGGTTTCTCTTCTTTACTAGAGATTTTATCACTTAGTAAGACAGAAAACAATTTGGCAGGAAAAAAGAAAAATAAGAAATTTCTTTAGGTTGAGATTTTTCTTATGTATTACTTGAAAGAGAAAGTGAAAGTCTCTCAGTCCAACCCTTTGCGACCCTATGGACTATACAGTCTATGGAATCAGAATACTGGAGTGGGTAGCCTTTCACTTCTCCAGGGGATCTTCCCAACCCAGGGACTGAACTCAGGTCTCCCGCATTGCAGACAGATTCTTTCCCAGCTGAGTCACAAGGGAAGCCCTCTGTATTGCTGAAGTCTTTATAAATGAGAAGCCATATATAAAATGTCAAGCACAATTCTTGGCAAATGGCAGATAGTCCATATATGATCTCTTTTCATCTCCTTTTCCACCCCAAGCACTAAAGCTAATTAGAAGAGTAGGAAAGTAGAGTTATTGCATGAATCACTAGTCACACAGTCATGTGACCCTTTAGACAAACTGAGTTTGCCTTTCATGGCTCTACCATTCAACAGGAATCAATGCAAGTTACCGTAGCCTCTTTTCTTCACAAAATTTTTATGGATTTCCCTTTCATATCAAAAAAGAAAATAGAAAAATATTTAAAATCCAGAAGGTTTCCATTTTACTTTTAGTCACCTTGAAAAATCTTAAGTAGGACCCTGCAAAAGTTAATAGTCATGTGGTAAGTCATCTGTTCTAAAAATATTCCAGTTTTTTCGCTTTGAGGACACTAACAGATGTCTAAAAATCATTTAGGCAATGACATTTCATTCATGGACCAGCATATAATAAACGTTAATCTTAATTTAACAGATGGAAAAGTATAAGATAGAATTTCCTTGTAAAATCATGTAACAGAATTTAAAAACTCATTTTTAAATCACTGGCATGTTAAAATGCTTTAAATCAAGAAGATAGTATACAATGACCCACATTTCTGAACAAATATAGCATACTTTTTACTTCTGTAAGGGTTTACCTGAGCTTTCTACTTGTCAGCAGCTACAGAAGTATAGTGAATTTGGCTACCAAGAAATAATTTGCACAAAAGTTTTAAATTCAACTATTGTTTAAAGTGAAGCATGATTTAATAGACATGTCTTTTTTAAACTAAAGTTCAATGTCAAATTAGAATCGTTGTCATTGGGTAGAAATCCTTTTTATTATTCCTTCTACTTCTCCTCCCTGTATAATCTGCTCTTTGAATGTGGAAATGCTGACCCCACAAGAAATTCATCCACCCATAATACCCCTTTTCAAAGGTGCCCATGTTGTTATGTTTCAATCTCTCATTTGAAATACAAGAGCAGAGTGGGGATTGCTATGCTTTTCTGCAATAATATAGCTCAAGTTTAAAGAAAAGTGAGCAGATGTATGGAAGTGTGCTGGCTAATTTGGAGTTTTAATTTAAAAAGCCTGGGATATACCATTTCAGTTTAACACCTAACTTTCCCCTTGCTCTTTCTAACTTCTACATTCATTTATTGAGTTTTCCAGATGAGACAGCTATTTGACACAGGTTAAATTATTTTTAGAGAACTTGGAAATCATTCCAAGAGTTAGTGGCAAGAATGGCATTTCCTTTGTTAGAAATAGCAAAGAGGGTTTGGCTTCTCCTGGGCCTCTTTCACCTTGGTTTCTCCAAGACCTGGTAATACAGATGTAGCAAGAATTTAAAAAAGCATTTTGATGAAGTGAACAAATAATAGCAACTGTCTACACTCTAGGAGTTATGTATTCAATTCAGTTGAAATAACTTTTCATGGTTCTATAACAGAAAAAAAATCAAAGTAGCTGAGTTTTTAAAATAGATTTCAAAGTGATTCCAAAATTTTTACTTTTGCTAATCATGAGGAAACTATGTCCTACTTTCTCTGCTTATGTTTTAGTTTTCTTAAATCAAAAACACAAAAAACAACAATTAAGGTCTAGGAAATCTGTTTAAAAGCAGTAGATATCTCTTTTCTATACTTTTACAAATACTGACACACACTTTCATCTCTAAAAGTTTTGTCAGGATTATAGGAAACACTATTTAATAATTCTTATTTTGATATTTATGTGCAAATAGCTTAAATTTTGAAGAAAATTAATTCAAATGTCAAATATTAACATTTTGATTTATATTCTTCCACTGGATATCTTAAAAATATGTAAAGTTTCATAATGCCTCTACTTGAAAAGACTGTAAGAATATCTATGAAATATAACTTTATTGCTCAGACCTCATGAGAAAAGTTCAACAGTGGTCCAGTAGATAAAAAGATTGATGTGAAGAATTGGATGGTAAGTGCTTAAGTGTTGACAATATTGGTCTCTTGAAATGGAGAACATTGGTTTGTAAATAAAATTCCATACATAAGACTTGGATGAATTTGGTAGCTAAGTTTAGCATACATTTGATGAATAATGGAACCTGTAACTGATTAGGTATATAAGCCATTGGTAAAATTTGAAATCATTTATTGATTGAAAAATGGCCTTTATTAGTGTTGCTTTTTAACTATTACCTAAAAAGCAATTTTCTGTATTTTTAACTTTTGTCTGAATTTATTAATACACTGAGAGATATTAATATTTATTGTTTACAACACTGGAAAGCATGAAAGCATGAAAAAATAGTGGTGAACAAGATGGATGTGTTCCCTGCTGTCATAAACTTACAATCTAGTATAAGATATTAGCTAAGGAGAGTAATGTTTTTAAACATTCTTAGTTTTGCAGTGAGTTTTAGAGTTCATTAATCCTTTCCTAAGTCTATTTCTCAAAAATTTGTTAATGCTCCTATATTAACACACACTTTGATAATCAAATGTATCCTACCTAACCTTAAAAAATCCACACACAAGATTTTACTCTTAATGCCACTACAAGAAATGAAATATTTTTTTAAAACTTGGGAAATACCATTTTACATTTATAGAAAACTCTATTTTTTTCCCTAATGTAAAAAGGAAGTCCACTTTCAAATCTATTCTTGTAGCTCTAATGGCATGGAGATTTAGGTAGTGAAAGTAGAGAAAAAAAGAAAATAGTTCTCTTATTCTGAAACCAACATGTTCTTTCACCATCCACTACTGCCTTCTCTTTTGGTCAAGATAGGTGTTTCCCAGTGACAGAGGAGAGTTTTCAGACATTTTTAAGAATCTGATTTTATAATAAGGTGTAATTCTCTCAAGTATTAAAAAAAAAATCTTGCTATTTTAATGATGTCTGAAATAAGATTAGATTATTTCTTTTTTCAGTTGTCGTAAAAGACATATAACGTAAAATTTACCATCTTACTATTTTTTAAGTATCTAATTCAGTGGTATTAAGAACATTCACATTGTTAACACTACAATCACCAAGGATTATTTCTTTTTTTATAGGAAGAACTTCTTGATTCCAGTTGAATAATATGTAGAGTCCTTAGTATAAGTTATTAGTCTACTTGAATGCTTAATCATATATTGCCTGCACTTGTGAAGTTTTTCATATGTTGGTGAATGCTTTGATTCTTTGAAAATATGCTTTCTATAATAGTTTCTTCCTATTTGCTAGATGTTTCTGAAAACAAAGACATTTTTCTCGTTTAAGCAATTATGCTTTTCTTAAAGATCATGCAATAAGAAAAGCAATCATTGTTTGCTAGGTATATCACTGTTGTGGCTTATCCATTTTTTCATGTTTCTAAACGTACTGAAGAAAAATCCAAAAATAAGCACTCTCATTGCTCTATGAAATATTAATCCAACTTATAATTCTGTTTACAACAACCCTCATGGATTTCCTGTTTGTACTCTTTTCTTCCATATCTCCACCCAGGACTCCACTCTGGCCTTGAGTCAGTCACAGTATCAAGGCCATAGTGCGGAGGCTCTCAAAGCCTTGTTGTCTCAAGCAATAAGTATTCCATGAAATTAGAAAAGAATAGTGATTAATAAGAAGAGGGGAGAAGGAGAGGAGAATTCTGGGAGTGTTATAGTCAGAACACTAATGACTTGAAAACTCTGGGTTAAACATGGATTAAATAATACACTTCACTAAGTAGAGAAAAAAAGAAAATAGTTCTCTTATTCTGAAACCAACATGTTCTTTCACCATCCACTACTGCCTTCTCTTTTGGTCAAGATAGGTGTTTCCCAGTGACAGAGGAGAGTTTTCAGACATTTTTAAGAATCTGATTTTATAATAAGGTGTAATTCTCTCAAGTATTAAAAAAAAAATCTTGCTATTTTAA